TATAATGCACTAACAACCTTTTATTTCTTTAGATAAAAGTTGCGTATGTAAAATGGAAAAGTAAAAAATCCATTAAAATGTCACGAGTTCAATTCACTGTCGTAATAAAAGTAAAACGTGCTAAAGATTAAAAAACCGAAAGCAACAATAATTCTTTTTATTTTTACTTACTCAATCACGACATTTTAAAGACTCATTGTAATCACAAAAAACATAAATTATAACAACTGCATTGGCAGTAAAGTGACTTCAAAAAAGTTCCTCCAGCCATACTGCAGCAATAATAAACAACTTAGTTAACTGCAATCGACCGATCAGTAAACCGAAGACAGGCCGCTAAGCCGCTGAACCGCTAAGCCGCTGGTCGTTTGAGTTGTCATTGCTGCTGCACTGACTGAAAGTAGCTGCAAGCTAAATGCCTATTTGCTTGCAAGTCAAATTATGAGACCCAAAATCCCTTTCGATTTGTTTTGGTGCCAGTGTCAGCCCTGACATCGTCTGATCGTATCAAATGACACATTCCATTTACCCGCACAATAGTGACACTTCAATTAATTGCAACTGGCAGCTGCTGAAGGTTGTTGTGCGGCGCTATTCTCAGCCTGCCATAGGCCTCAAGCTTCAGTCTTAAGGTTACACAATTTCTGCATTATTTATTTGCTCAAGTGATTTTTAGATACTTTTTAAATAATTTTTTCTTAATGAGTTTTTGCATGGAAACTCATTCGTGTTACGTATACGCAGCGAACCGCTACCGCTGCCAACTTGTGACCTTTTTAATTAAACCTCAAGTGAACAATTGGAGTAATTGAGCGTAAAATTTAGCAAAACTGCCAATAGCCAATAGCCAACGTATCTGTTGTCGGTAATAAACTAATTTATGGACTTCTCAAGTGTACAAGTGTTGCCTTTGGCCGATTTGTTACTCTTTTGTTACGCATTAATGGCACTTTTTTAATTGTAATTCGATCTATTTTTATTTGGTTGATCCTATGCGGTTTGTGTTTACCCACTTAACAAATAATATCGATTTATAGATACATCAAGTGGTTGGAGTTTTGTTTGATTTATGCGTGAAATAATTAGAAAGAAAAATATACTGAGTCGAGCTGTCATTAAATTTTGATTAATTACAATCTTTTATTCGTTTTGTGTATTTATTTTTAAATAAAATTAATTTTGTTTATTTTTGAAAGTATTTTTATAACACTTGTGCCAATGAAGCTCAGCTTAAATACAGTAGTAGTGTTCATTCATATCCGAAGGTGTTCTCACAATGAAATAAAATATAATTAAAAAGTGTGTAAAAATACGAATATTTTTTAATTTTTTTTCTTTTATATATAAAAACCATATATAATTGTATTTTATATTTTATTTTGACAAATCAATTGTCATCTAGAAGCTTAAGTGACATGTGTTAATCAGGTGACATTGTCATATCGTGTTAATATGTTAAAGACAAGAGTTTATTCAGTTAAAAAATGTGAAAACCTGCTCAAAAACCTTCATGAATATTTGAAATATTTATTAATCTATTTTTATATGTTTTACATAGATAAAATCATAACTATTTGCATACCTAAAAGCTTAAGAATTTTAATTGAAAAGTTGATATGAAAAAATGTGCAAATCAGAAGCAAGAATTCAGAACATAAATATTATTTTTAATAATAATAAATTAAATAAAATTAATTAAATATTAATTAATTAAATTAAATTAAATTAAATTCTATATTTTAATATTTAATTTTATGAACATTTATTTTAATGGAGCGGTAAAATACTACGATTCATTTTTTTTAAGAGTTTGTAATTCACATATTAAAGTCATTGAATTTTATGAAAGATGTTATAAAAATTTACATTAACATTACGAAAATATTTACACATAGAATTTCCACAGAAGTATTTAAGCCTTGCGGCACTTTATTTGCCTATTTTTCTTTGAGTGCGTATTACACATGAGAGTTTTTTGTCAAAGTTTTTTGTCATCGCTTGCTATTACACATCAAAACAGTCGAAATTATTTTGAACCCGTCTAGAAAGAAAAAACAACAAATATACTATAAAATAAAATCATGCATGCATTTGAACGATGTTTTTGATTCTATCCCTTAAAATGAATGAAACTATTATAACGCAAACTATTATTATGATCTATAAACTGCCATTGTTAGAGTAGTATTTATTCTGTATACTGACACAATCAAAAATTTGACAGAATTTGACAGTATTGCCATCGATGATTGCGCTTAAATTATTTTATTGTTGAGTTAAATCCAAATGTCATTGGTGTCATATATTTAACTTCAACCTAATCTAACCGAAATCCTCTAGACTTATTATGCTCTGTTGGGGAATATTCCAGGATCTGTAACCTATACATTTAACTTTTAGGTTCATGCAGATTTTGATTATTCCTCAACTATCAAGAAATATAAAGTTTTATATTACATGTTATTATTTGAAGATAATCTTCAAGAAGAGAATTTAAAACTTATCCAGACTATATCTTATTAACCCGTCGCATTTTGTATTTTTAGTTCTTTATCAGAAGACGTAAGCAATTATTTACATGATGCTTGTAGTGTGCGCAGAGTCTTTCAAATATGTTGATGATCCCACTTAACTGGTTAGCTCAGGTTAACTTAATCTTTTTGCAACTGCTGGTGATATCCTTATAAAAGGGAATTCAGAGTAGACAAATGATGAACTCCGTTAAAATCAAGTTCACAGTTTTGTTATTATATGAGATCAAGTACAGGATTCTGAAAGATCCTGAATGTTTGACAGTATTTATGAGTTCCAGTTTAATATATTACCCAAACAAATACAGATGATAGTATCTCAAATAAGTATAAGATCTTTTTAAATAACACGGTAATAATCAGTAAATTGTGCATTTAGTTTTACAAAGATATTTTGACTACCTACCCTGTTCTCTAACTCTAAGTTACCAATGGTTAGACTCACCTTTAGTAATGACTTTCAGTCATGCAGGAATCTCTAAAATAAAAGTTGACAGTAAATTTTCTTTTGAAATTGAGAATAAAGGAGACGAAACCAATATTTCCTGGACAAAGGGAATCTATATGGAAACGATAGTTCAGTATTTACTCCGATGTGTAAACTGGATGGGAACATAAATGAATCCATCATTGAACAGCCGATTAGCTAATGGACAAATCATATGTACTGCAGATCGCTAAGGTTATATAGTCTTGATTACATAAAAAGGATGAAGAGTCTTTTAGGTTGTAGAAAACATACAGTTTGTGTAGTTATTAGTATATTAATGAGGAACAGTTTTATTGACAAATTGCCTTAACGTAAACGTCTAAAATAACACATGGTTCTATAATTAATTTTTAATGTATTTGATGTCTTTCTGGCAACTTTAAAATATGGACAACAGTTGTCTCTCAATATAAATACTGTTGCTATTTAAAAAATTAAAACGGTTTTATAGTCGAAATAGTGATTTAATTTTAAATCACAATACAATAAATTATGATTAACTACCATAATTAGTTTAAGAAACGACAACTTTTTATTTAATTAAAAAAAGAAAATCAGTTTAGCATTTTATTCACATATGATGGGATCTTTAATGAGCAATAAAAGCCGTTTAATGAGCAATATCCAGATTAAAGGTGCTTTAACACTATTTGTAGCAAAAATTGATGAGGGTGTTGTCGGTTTCTAGACGGTATCTAGAAAGTTTTATGTGTTAACATATAAAGTGGGTCTACTCAGGTCCACATTATTATGCTTATTTCAATTGAAATTCATTTACCTCTATCCAACCGTAAGTTAACAGGAGATAGTAAGGTTAGTCATTCTTTCGAGACACGTGTATTAGTTTGGTACACGTTTCTTGAGAAATTCTTAAAAAAGTTTTTAAATTGTGACCTCACAGTTTTACTGCAAAAGTACATTTGACGACTCTAAGCTGTTTTATTGAATATCTTCGGTAATTCAACAGAATTTCAAGCTAAATTAAATTTTAGTGTGGGTAATGTAGATGCATGTATATAATTATTTTTGAGTATCTTTAGACCTAAACAAAACGTAAACAAGTGTAAAATTGTATAAAATTTAATAAAATATTTTAAGAATAATTTTATTGTGTCATTTGTCTTGTTTCAAAATTTATAGACAATAGCTCCATTCAAAGTTAATTGATGCAACTCACACCTATTGACATATTTGATGAGGTGCTACAATTCTTAGACTCAGGAAAATGTGGGATTATTTAATTAAACAGTGAATCATCTTCCAATTCATAATTTTTGAATTTTAAATAAAATTTTATATATAATAAAATCGTTTACACTTGTTAATGTAATAAAAATAATAACTTTAACAGAAAATTTAGGCTTGTTTAGGTTGTAAAAATTTAAAGAACATTGAGTCACAAAATCAAGCACGTCAACCTCTAAGTCGAGGAAATTTTATGTAAAAGTGGGTGTAGGTGTTTAAAAGCGTCAAATCATAAATAATTAAAATTATTTCATATATTATAAAAGTCTACAAAATAACGTAATAGTGTCACTAGTATAATTTCCATACCTGCAAGTGTAATATTATAACCGCTAATTAGCGGTAACGGGCAAAAATATTAATTAAAATATTTAATTATATGGTCCTGAAGTCTTATCAAGGTTCTCAAGTGCGAATTCACGTTATGCACTATTAAGCTATTAAATATTTAAATATTTTTAATTATAATTAGAATAAGTTAATATAAATTTAATTAAGGCAAACATTCTATCATAAAAAAAAAATCATTAATTAAAAAGGTTATGTAGACAAGAAATACTAGACAGCACCGATGAATTGAAGTGGCAAAAACATAATAAATTTATTTTGCAGAAACAGACAAAAAAAAAATATATAAATATTTTATATATATTTAAATTCACTTTAAGTGTGAAAAATTAGTTTTATAAAAGCGGAAATGCATATTAATTTTGATTTTAATTGCTTGCAGCTCATTCAGCGACTTATCGGAAAAGTAAAATGTCATTGTAGACGTCATCAGTTTTACTCTTCTTCCAGTTCATCAGAGAGGCTTCCATGGCAGCATAACAGTTACTGGCTTCAGCCGCCTGAATTGCAGACTTTTTGCTCGTTAGTCTGACAAAATTTGTTTAATTTGGAAAAAATGCTATGGACTAAAATGGACAACAGCTACAGACTTTTATGGTTTTCCGGCGTTTTACTAGGTAAGTTGAGTTTTTGTTTTTTTCATGAATTACTGACCTCGAAAGACATTTTTGCTTACAAGTGACACATTTAGCGATTTATGTGATTGCCATTTCAAATTTTATTTTGTTTTTTTGATTTTTTATTAAAAAAATTGGTTAATATTTTAATGACAAAACTTCAAATTAACATTGAGAATATGAAATTAAATTTAATTAATTAATATTGCTATAAAATAATTCATAATGAATTTCTTATAACAAAAATAACAGCTGTACTCATTGAAAGTTATATAGCTTATAAAATTAAATAAAAATAAGACTAGAATATTAGAGAAAATTAAATAATATTTAGATCATAATCTATTAGATTAGATTAAAAATGAGACCATTTGTGCAGAAACTAAACAAATTTAGTTTTCTACTAATACATCTAAGTCTAAATAATAATATTTATTTTGTAACCGTCAAGTGTCTAATAGGGAGGCATGCCTTTATTTCAATTCTAACCGACCAGACCTATGCTAAGAAGCAATAAAAAACTATTCAGCACTTACTTATTCTGTATATATTTATTCTTAATCAAGAAACTCGGTGTCGTTTGTGCACTAGTTTGTGCGGGTCTTGAACCTTTAAAATGGTTCATCAGACTTGACATATGGACAGTGGTATTATACCTTACCATTATTTATGTTTTGAGTACGAGATTGCCAATCCATCTCAATGTAACTTGACGAGCTGAGTGCCAATACTATGAAAACTCTCTTCAAAAGCTCAAAAGACTGTCAGATATCATAATCTAAAAACTTTCCAAAGAAAATAAATTCATTATAATAATGAAATTAATAAATCTGTTTTTGGAATGTTCATATTACAAAATCCATACTATGTGAAATTAAAAATTAGTAGGCTATACCATGGATATATAAAGTCAGCAATGACATGATTGGATCTAACATCAAATAATGATCTTGTAGACTTCGTCAACCAAAAATGTGATTTAAAATATAAGCTAATAAACTGACGAAGAACTCTTCCATAGTTACTAACAGAAAACTTTTAAAAATTTTTAAAAAAAGATTAACCGCAATGTACTTATTGAGATCATCATAGGGTATATAAAAATGGCTTCCATAAGATCACTGTAGGTTTTATCACAAATTAAATAAATCAGTTGATTGATATATTTTCTCATTGAGTGTTAAAGAGAACACATAGCACTTTCATTATTATTACCCACCATTTATCACAACTGGATAAAATTATACGGTTACGATAATATAAGTATGAAAAAGGTTGAAGTACTTCTTTTAGATGATTGTGTTAGACTCATCCCATGATATTTAAAATATTGTTATTTTTTGTAACAAGATATGATGACACATACTATGTTGGAAACCTTGTCAGTCTGATATGTCATTCAATTCATGGTGTGGAATAATGGAAACCTAAATAACGGCGTTTAACTGTATCAATATATTTTGTAAAGCTCTAAATAGGATTTATTTCAGAATAGATTGAGACCTTCTACACCACGACAGTAGTAGTATACGTATGTCATTCTTAATATTTATTATTTTATTTGTACCTGTTTATTGTAACAATTTGTCGGAGATTATGTGTAATAAGGGACTTGAAAATAAATTATTAACTGGATTAATATTCCAGTTTTGATTTTTTTATTTTAAATTTCATTTTTATTCAATTTACTACGTTATAATATTTTATAGGCCAAATATTGCTTGCCGTTCTATCAATACAAGAAGCAGCCAGTCCAGTATTTCAAAACCACAAAACAAAAGAATGGACGAATTTAGATAATATAACATTCTCATTTGATTGCACACGTCGATCTGTGGGTTTCTATGCGGATATGGAATACAATTGTCAGGTAAATAATAATTTAAAAATTTGCTTATATTTTTAATTACTATTTCTCTTATTTAAGTTCAAAAAAAGCTTTAAAGCTCACTATAATAATTAAGCCTAAAAGCATGCAGTAAAACTGATTTTAAAAAGCCTATGCGTGATGCATTTATGACACGAATGCATGTTACCTTAATTTTAGTGCTGGCTTTGTAGTAGTTTGATCTGATTTAAACATATATATTTTAATCTGGGCTTAATAGTAGTAGTTTGTTCTCTTTTTAAAAATGTAAAAAATAATAGTTGCTGTTGGAAATTTTTAATGAGATACAGAGTATGAATAATACATTAATATGACTTAATACGAATTAATACGACTTATATTGCATTCCGTTAAGAGATCACAAGCTGTAAAGGAGGTGAAGGAGCTTAATTCCCTTTTGAATTAAACTATAATGATATATGTATACAAATGCATCGATAATAAAATATCGTCACTTGTTTAAAAACTGTGTATAAATTTTAACGCTGAAGCTAATAGCAACTAATAAAATTTTAAAATTGTTGAAGTATAGCCATGGAACTTATTTTCCGGTAATGAATTGTCTTCGGTTTGTCTGTTAATTACTATAACTGGGTTTAAAAAATAATTTTCGGTCATGAATAAGCATAAGTAAGAAGGAAATTTCTAGAAGAAATTTAATTGACCATGATAGATTTGATTTAGTTCAGCTTTAATAAAATATATTCAGACTAGTTGCTGAACCAGGTAAAGTGACAGACGTTTTATCAAAAAAAACACCTAAAAGATTATTGCAAATATGTTTTGCTTTCTAATTCATAAATTTCCGTGGAATAAATTTTTAGCTACGAATCTGTCTTTCAATACATACATATAAAGAATTATGTGCCAGATTTAATATCAAAATATCATAAACTGTTAATGAAAACTATTCTGGAAAGTTTAACTTGGAGCTCTGGTATACTAGATTTCCACCTGGTTGCGACCATAATTGACATTATTTCCGAGAATTAATTTGTTTATCTGTTCATCTCTGCGTTTTTCACTCTGGTTTATTCTCCATCTGTCTGTGCGGACAGTTCTTTTTAGCCTTTTTCAATTATTTTAATTAATCCTGAGAAACTATGTAATCCAAATGAATCAAGCTAACAAATAGATGAAATTGACTGGTTGTACTGGTTGACTTGTTGATATATATAAATCAATTTCTACAGTGAAGGATACATTTTTATTGAAAAAAAATTAGTCATATTGGAATAATCAATTTGAAATACCTTTTTGAAACAATAATCTGAAGAGTATTAGTGAAGATTACTGTTAACTGAATTAAAACTCGCTTTCTATCCGCTTTCTTTAAAAATAAAACATTATTTTCTTATGCATATCATGTAGACATATTTCTAAGCTTGCTGAATATATTATATTAATAAAAATCTTCTTTAAATTTTTATAAATGATAGTACTCTTAAACTATCTTGCCTAGTTTTTGATTATATATTTATCAGTTTATTTTTGGTGCAATTATATGGCATTTTTATTAATTATTGTGGTTTCTAGTGCAATTAAGTAGCACTTTCATTTTCTTATATCTCAATTTTTTTATGGAATATACGAAAACCCATTCCCAAATTCAAATTTAAAACTAAATACAAACCCAAACAAAACCCATTTAAAAGGAGAACAAAATGCAATTCCAAATATAAGCAATGTTCATTTGGTTAAACAAGCTGGCACTTTGGCTGTTAGTTACTTGTAGTGCATATATTAAAGCTCAAGAAAGTCAGAATTTTGTTGAAACATTAAATTTACAGCAGTAAATATGTTTAATTTAAAATGATGGAATTTGCGATTACGTGTAAATATATAATAAAAAATAAAAAAATAAATATATATAATATAAAAAGAGAATAAGAAGAATAAAAAAATAAAATGAAAAAAGAAAACAAGAAAAAAATAATATTTTTACTATTTTCTGTTATTATTTATTTTTTATGTATATAATTTAAAAAAATATTATTTTTATTATTAAAATCATAAACTTCTTTTTTTTTGTGCAGATATTCCATATGTGTGATGAAGAAGGCAATCGTATACCGCATCTTTGCGCTAATGAAACCTCTTTCAATCAAGAGTACAGAATCTGTGATTGGGATTATAACTTTAATTGCACTGAATCGCCTGTAAGATACATTATTAATTTTTATTAATATCTAATATATTCTAATTAATCAAATATTTTCACTTTAATTATAGAAATGGTTTTATCTGAATGAATTGACTTATGCCACTGAACCGCCAGATGAAGATGATGAGTATTAAAAGCTTTATCAAATCCAAACTTGCGAATAAATTAATTTAATTTAATTTTATATTAAATTATTAATTATAAACATAAAGAATAAAAACTGTGTAAACTTTTGTAAATTAATATATATAAAAACAAGAAAATACTCCATTTTATATTTTAAGTGAAAATATTGTAAATTTATTGTTTTATATGATGTTTTTATTTTTGTTTAATTTCTTTGTTATAAATTATAAATGAGCGATATTGTTAAATTTATTTATATCTAAGAATGTAGTGAAAAAAATTTATATGAAATAAAATTACTTATAGAAAAAATATCGTAATATATATTTAATATTTGTAAACAAGGAAATTATTAAAGCAAACTCGATGTATCTAAGCGCACGGTTTTGTGTAAATTTTATTTCCCATTTAGAATTTACAAATGAAATTAAAATTAAATTAAAAAAAATTTATTGAAAATATTAAGCTTAATCATGCTAATTATAGATATTTTTGCAATTTGTATATTTATTCGTTTATTGTGCGCTATGTGTAATAAAATAACAATACTCATATTAAAATTAACTTTAGTTTAGTATGAAAACATTAAAAACGTGAATATGTGAAATCAGAAAATGTGACCTCTTTTAATTCATTTGTTATAATTTAGGCAAATTGTTAAATTATTAACAAATTAGTGAATAAACAAATTAACGTTCCATTATATTTGCAGTGACTAATGCGAGTGAATCCCTAACCGTTGATAAGAGATCTTTTTTATACAATAAATGTTACCAGTTTTCACTAGATATGTTTTCACTACATATATATGTATATTTAAACATACATACTATGTATATAAAGTAGATAAATTTATATGTTTATAAGGTTCATAAGGCATTTAACAGTTTAGTTGAGTACCCTTATTGTAATTATGTACATGAAATGAAATTTTGCAATATATAAAAATCATTACTAGCATTGAGTTGAAATTGATTATTAGTAATCAATATTTCATCATGACTGACAATATTAATTACAGTCCTGTAGTCCTATATTTTGTTCCATATACCTATGCATTTCAATTTCCGTTTTAATAGACCCAATCTTATATACTGCTTTGAAATCGTCTTTTTTAGGCATAAAACTGTAGATGGTAGATAGAAAGTGCAACTTAACTTTCATTGAATTCGAAGAAGCTTATTAAGAGTATTACGAGGTATTAATATAATTGTCTATTCTGTCTTCATATCTTTCGAATTCATTCAATTCTTTTGATTCACTTCAAATCTCTGTGCATATTAGCATTTGAAAGAAAAAAAAATATATTACTTATATTTGCTTCATTAATCCAGATGAGCTCCATAGAAATTTTGTAGAATTAGATTTTATTCTCTATTTAAAGCACCAAATTTTGATATCTCAGTTTAAGATTCTATATTCCATACTAATACATATGAATATTAGTTAAGATGTTTTATATGATTTCTAAATGGAATAACTGACATTAGAATACTTACTGGTTGACAATTATCTCTTCTTGGATTAAAAGTTATATAAAATAATTTTTCTGTATCGAGTGTATTTCACATTTTGAATTAAGAATTTGTATGCAGTTAATATGTTAAAAATTAAATTAAAATAATCTATTAAGCACCTTTTATCTCTTTGCCCAAGACCACAGATGAAACGGGTTCTAACGTTTAGGTGACCATTTCTTCGCTAACCCTGGTAAAGTTAGCGAAAGTTGACTCATGAGATCTTCTTAATTTTTTCCGGAAAATCAAATGGTTTAATATGTGAAGTCGTTTTAGAAACAATGTTAGAGCACACCTTTTCTCAGGAACTTTAAAGGCAATTAAACAGGCAATACTACTCTCCGACTGAAAGTGTTGATGTTTATATCAACACAAACTTGTAGACCTGATATTATTTCCAATAAATGAAAATAATTGAAAGTATTATTTAATTAATATTTCTAAGTCCTACGACATGGAATCTAATTCGAACAAAAGATATTTTCAAAGAAGACAGTATTCGAACACAGTATGTATGGTCAGCTGAATAATTTATTGGATTAGAATATTATATTTTTGATTTTAAATGTTTTATATCTTATTATAATATAGTAACTTTATTTTATTAATATATAAAACGTCATTAGGATATATGTACAAATGTACATTGCAACTGGCCTTAAAGAGAGACAAACTCTATTATGAGTTAAAAACTGCGAGAAGTATTTGCTAGTGAAATGAAAATAATTTATTTAGAATTTAAGTTATATTTTTTTAATGAATTATTTATAGCTTAATAAAGCAACAATATAAATTTCATTAGTTCAATAATTTTATTAATGTCAAACTTATCGCTTATCTTAAGGTAGTCGAAGCCTACAGACTTAATAAAGCTTAAGGATGCCTAAGGTTACAACTTATATGGATTCAAAATCAATTGAGCCATTTACTAATTTATTAAAATGTTAAACAATATTTACAAAATTAAACTATTTTGTTTTTTAAATTATTTAATTATACATAAATATAATATCAATACTATGTATTATATAAATTGTATGATTTCATTTTATAAAATTGCGGAAGTATATCGAAAGTGGGTGTTAAAAATTAAAAACTCTATTAATATATTTATTAAATATTTATCTTTAAAATGATTTTACTTCAAAGTAAAAAAAAAATTGTTGTAAGTTTCCATAATTAATTTATTTACAATTACAAAAATATTTATTTTCATAAACAAAATTACAATAAATATTTGCCTATAAGTCAAGTTCAATGACGAAATATAAACATCAGTAAAAAAAATATTTAATTACTCCAACAAAAAACGAGGAAAATTCTGCAAAATGGTACATAGATCTCCGATACACTTATAATTTATATTTTAATAATTCACACATTATTAAGCAATAAAATTAATTAGAACAGAAAAAAAATCACACTGAAATGATGATTACTCAACAGCTGGAAAAAAGTCTATTTAAATAGTTCCGTCCACCGAAATCGAATTAGTTCAAGTTGAGAAATCCAACAAAGTGAAGTTAAAATTTAAAATAAAAATATTTAACAAATAAAATTATTTAAATGAAGTCACTACAAATATTTTTAACATTATCAGCAGCAATTGTAATATTACAAATCGTGATAATAATAATAAATATTTATTAATATAATATCTTTTTAATAAAGATCATCGCCGCTCAGCAGTATGGCTATTATCCCAACCAGTACTACAATGTAGGTCCTACATTCTCCAGTGTAAGCACAACGCCGTATCCTTTGTATGGACAGAATAATATACGTATTTGGCCTTATGTTATTGGACAGTATGGCAACCCCACCACAAATTATCCATATAATCAATACAATCCTAACACTTATACCAATCCTAATGATCCAAATAGGTGGCAAAACTGGTATAATTCAGTATATCAAAATGGTCTATTTAAGTGAGAACAATTAACGTTGTAATTTAATAATTATTTAATGTGTTTTTTTTTATATTTATTCTTTATTGTAAATTTATATTCATTTGTATCTGTGTTGTAATTTATATGTGATGATAATTAAATTTGTTCAATTTGTTTATCATGAAATTAAATTTTTGTTTTTAATTTATTGGAGTCAATGTAACCTTAATGGTTTTTCAAATTAATATTGTGGGTTTTGTTATTTTAGATTATTTTTATTAAATACACAAATTTGTTTTTTATTGCATATATACTAAATATATCATACTCTGAAGTTTGTGGGATGAATTCAATCCTTCAAGATTTGGATAGTTCTTACGAGTATTATACAGCCTATTTCAGAATTTTCAGAAAAGTATATTAAGTATTTGTATTACTTAAAATAAACACAAAAATATTATAAAAGAAAAGGTTCCATACTTCATGTAGGAAATTTATTTCGTCAAAATTCCTAACCTTTTCCAGAAAGGTTATTATCCTAACCTTTTCCAGTTTGTTATTATCAATCAGTCAATATATTATACGGTTGCCATTATTTGGAAATAAAATTACTTACTAAATTGTCTATTCCAGAAGACTATCAATACTAATCGAGCCTTGTAGTCTATAATAACAATGCCAGCCAGTTCGGTCAGTAAGCTGATGATAGCAGTGAGTGACGTTACATCTTTTATTACTTCATCCTCGTGAAGTATGTGTAACCATCTTCACTTTCCACCAACGAATACATCTTTATAAATTAAATATTTTTATATTTTCACACGACATAACCAAAGATAGCGAAGTCGATGAATTTTATTACTGTTAACTTTATAACTATAGTTAACCGTATTATTATTATAATAATCTGTATGAGATGTACCGCATACAGCTCATAATTTCATCTAATTTGATAGAACCACAAACTAGGTTACGTCAAGCACCAAAGCCTACTTGATCAAAAACAATAGCGGTTGTGATACCTGATACCACGAATGCAAGGTTACGAAAAATTTTACATTCGAACGGTTCTAATACTTTCACTTGATGCTTATCAATGTCCAAGTTTCTGCTTGATGCAGCGATTCCGGCATGACAAGTAATGTGTTGAGTATATTGTTTATTTGTTGAGAAAGGATCTTATATCTGAATTGTCACTTAAATTTCAAATGGGATGAATTGGTTATAGTGCTACTTCATTAAATATTAATGCTGATACATTTTTGGAATTTATGCTGATTAAAAGTTTCGCGCAGATTCAGCTTATAAAATATTTGTGAATTGTGATTCACAGATATTACCTTGATCTATTTTTGTACACTATAGAACCCACTTAACTTGCTTGTTTCTTTAATTTAGCTGTAGGTGTAGAGGATAATAGAGAGTGGACCGTTAAATCAGTAGGATGTATCGATGTCGCAAAATGGTACACAAGAATTTATCTTAGGATGAAAGTTGAACGTAATTAAGTGAAAATATACTCAATGACCTGATACTGTATAATGACCTCTTATATATCGTTCTTACTTTTGCTGATTATTTACGTAAAGGCTCAAAATAATTGAAAAACAATACATTTTATGCAATTATTTAAATATATATGCTAAGTAACGAATTCTTTTAAATTACGGGTAGGAGTTTTAAATTCGATTTAGACTTTTGTCATTCATCTTATCTATTTCTCTATGCAAATAGAATCTATTAGGGAAAATCTAACCAAAAAAATATACACATTACTCATTTGTATTAACTAAAAAATATACATTTTAAAAAAATTTTTCTTATAATTTAATTCATTTTTAGTGTTGTAAGCTGGCACTTTGACTATTATTTATTTTATTTTATATTTGTAAATGTTGTTTGCTGGCACTGTGACTATTATTTATTTTATTTAATATTTGTTAATATTTTTTGCATGTAAGGTATTGTTTCTTTTTAAATATATTATATAAGCAATTGAAGTAAATAGTACTAAAATAATAAATTTCTAAATTACAGCACTTTGTCTGTTATAATATATATTGCATCTTTTTTTCTTTCGCATTTTTTGCATAAGCGCTAATTTTTTTAAATATATTAAATAAACAATTGAACTAAGTAGAGCAGTGACTGCATGCATGAGCAAAGTGAATGAGCTTATTTCGAAATTTGTTTTTAAAGACAAATACTAAATTAATAGCAATATATTATAGCTTCTTCTGTTAGCTCTACAGAATTATATGAGGATTAAAAATCTTTTTAGTAGAGCGGTAGTTGGTGTTAAAGTGCTCCTATAACAATACTAGCCATATTTCTTTATTGTTTTGTATGGTGTCTCATTTTCAAAATAGCATAACATATAATATAATACAAATGTCAATTTAGAGTGCCAACGAATTAAAAGAAAAAAAAATACTCATACTCCCATCTATGGAATGCAAATAGTTCATTTGTATTGACATTGAAATAGCTCTATAGAGAGTTTTTACATAAAGTTTTTGTAAAAATAGTTGGTGGTTCTTCGTTTCGTTTTTTAGTGAAGTTGGCTAGCAGTTTTATTATTTTATTATCTTTCATTATTTTAGTGTTATTAACTGGCTCTTCAACTGTTATTATTTTTAATTAGTCATAGAACGTGTTATTAACACATATGGCGTTACCCCTTTTGAAGATATACAATTGAGCTGAGTGGAGAATTGATAAAGCTGATGGAGCTTGAATAAATTAAAGGAGCACTGATTGAGCTGGTGGAGCATGAATAAATTGAAGGCTCCTACTTTGTGATTTTTTTTAATTTAATTTAAAATAATTAAAACATAATAACATAACATAGTAACGTTTTTTTATATTTACGGTATTTTAATTATTAATTTTATTATTGTTGTTCTATCTATGATAGAGAGGATAATGTACTTTGCTGTAAACGTTAAAAACACAATCTAATGATGATGTTTTCATTAACTGATAATTACTTGGTAAATGATTTTGAGGATTATTTTTCACTTTTTCTTTATGTAGGCTTAGGTCAATTAATTCATCGGAAATATAAAAATGTAATGAGAACATTACTATATAACTTAATTACTTTGCTGTTGCGAATTCTTTTCACTTTGTCTTTGTTATAAAGAGAACCACATCCTTTAATTGAAGTATCAAAAAAATATGTATCTTGTATAAATTTAATACGAACATTAAGTGAATTATAAAAATATTCAGTTTTTTTCAATACGTTTATAGCATTATTAAATTTATTGAAATTTAATTATTTAATGAAATTTTTTATAAAATTATAGCATTTAACATATAAAATATTCAGAACAGAATTTATAAGTAACTTTTGTCAATTTTTAATGATTTTATGGTAAATTGCAGTGTAATTAGAATGTTGATAAAAACGAAATAATTGTTAAATTCATATAATTTAACAATATTAAATGATGTCTCTTTTCAATGATTTAGAAAGTACAAGTTCCTGATAATTGCAAATAAATTAAATAAAAAGTAATTATTATTTTTTATAATTAAACATTCATTAATTAACGAACTGTAAATAATTTTTATTTCAAAATAATTATTCGTTAAAATAATTTTTAAATTTTTTTATCCAAAAGTTTAAGAACTTTTTACTTAAAAAGGAAGTCAGTCATAAGAACTTGAACACGAGAAGAAATTCAATTATTAATTTTAAAAAATTGTAAAGAATGGTATTAGTTGAATATTAAATTTTCTTAAAGTATCTACAAATTCATAACTTGAAAATATGCCGAGTCGTAGTAAACCGTTAAATCTACTTATAAGTTGATTTACATTTAAAAAAGTTTGAGTTCGACTTCGGAAATGTCACGGTCATAAAATGTTAGCAGCTTTCTTTTGTCGTACTGTTATGCTGTAATGTGAATAAGATAAGATACTAGTCTACATACTATATATGATATCAATATCAATGTAATTAAATTAGGTAACAATTCTTTTGTGGATATTTAAGGTTTCAAAATAGTTACAGCTTCAACGAACAATAAGATTTGCTCCATGTATCTCAAGAAAATTTATGATTTCAAAACAATAAATGCGTGAGTTCTATGAAACAGTTCCATAACTGTAGAAAATATTTTCTTTTCATAAAAAATAGAATTCCATGTTAATCAGATTCAAGAATGAACATACTAACCTAAACTTACTTAAAGATATTTTTAGTCAAAGTATATTAATTTATGCAAGAAGTTCAAGAGGTTGTTGGAGTAAACGCTGTAAGTTTGAGCAGACAATAAAAATATAAGAATTATAAAAAAAATTTTTTTTTTAATTCGATTGATAAAAGCTTAATAAAAAAAATAATTAAAAAAAATTTAAATTAAAATTTCAACAAAAATATAATTTCGTGTATGAAATACAAATAGTTTTGTGACATAATAAATACTTTTGAGACATAAATCTTATGTCTTCTTCTACTTACTTACATATTTAAGACTCATTTGAATATCATTATATATTGAATAATTAAATAATGAAGATCTTCTTACCTAAGAGTTTGATAAAAAAATTGATTGATTCATTATTTCTCGAACTCAAATTAATATACATAAGGTTATTAATCAAATATGTGCCGATATTGAATTTATTATGCATTAATCAGCTTTCTTAATATTATGTAAAAGAGTTATCATTATAGTTATTAAAACCAATAAATTTTTATCATAAAATTGTTAAAAACTGCAAAAATTAAAAAAAGTATTCTTAAATTATTTCTTTTCCTTATAATAATGATGGTAATTCATTCTGTCCCACTTTGATACCAATATTTGAATTACTATGACTAGGGCTCGAATGGTTTTTGATTGGCGAAATAGCTGTATGGTCAACTGAAAAATTTATCTGATTAAAAAAATTACTTTTGGATCTAAAAATTATAATTTCGCACTTTCGCCATCCTCTCTTTTATTCGAAATATATTTTTTGGTGTAGAACATAAAATTCTGAATCGAAAATTAATTTCTTGATTACGAAGTCAGAGTTTCAAAAACTTTTGGTGT